TGAGCGTGCTTGGGCTGGTTCCCGTGCCAGCCCGTTTCTGTACCGGGCCGCAGGAAGCCGGTCCCTGGGCGCTTTCATACTGCTGGAGAGACCGACCAACATTTCCCTTGGGGTTATTTTCTCGCTTACATTAGAAAAACAGAAACTTCTCAGAATTTTGTTTTCCCCTCACCTCCCTTCGTCTTACGCGGTTCGGTGCTCTGAGGTGGCCTGGGCGACCCGGGACCTCGGAGCGTGTGGAACGGATGCTGCCGGTGGTGCTCGGCGTGACCGATCAGCCCAGGGCCTCCTCACCTGGGGCGCTTGTGCGGAGTCGGCAACGGCAACAGGCACCGCACAAGCGCTGATGGAGAGGGGTGGCCCTGCCGCGGGAGCGTGCGGCTTGAGAGGAGGCACAAGGGGCCTTGGCAGATGCAGAGGAGATGGGTCAGGGATGACACTGTGCGGTTTACCCTCTGCCGTGTGGGACTGTGTGTACACGCGTTAAACTTTGCTTGGTAAAAAGGGTTTCACACTGTTGCCACCGACTGCTGGACCAGGGAGCCAGGGTGACTAAGTTACATTTCTGTTACAGGAACTATTTTTCTGAAGAAGACGTTTCTGTTAAAATGAATGTCTTCTTTACGGAAAGCATTAAAATGTTCACAGAGGTGGTTTGCTGCTCTAGACTAAAATGACGGAACAGGTTGAAAAATTTTTACAGGAAATTATGGAAAAAACAATGCTCCAGCATTTTTTAAGCAGGAGGAATGGCTGTAAAACGACCAAACTCAAAACATCACTTGAAGCTCATTAAAATAGAAGATCTTGTGCAAAGAGTTTCTTTTAATTTCCAATATCACATAAATTTACTGTCACAGGTGACAGTAATGTGACAGATTTACAGGACTTTCTTCTTTCCTTGCACAGAGACCCTGTAAATTTTTGTACTGGTTTTGGCTGGGATAGAGTTAATTTTCTTCACAGTAGCTAGTATGGGGCTGTGTTTCGGATTTGTGCTGAAAACAGTCTTGATAACACAGGGATGTTTTAGTTACTGCTGAGCAGTGCTGACACAGAGTCAAGGCCCTTTCTGCTCCTCACCCCACCCCACCAGCAAGCAGGCTGGGGGTGCACAAGGAGTTGGGAGGGGGCACGGCCGGGACAGCTGACCCCAACTGACCCAAGGGATATCCCACACCATATGGCGTCATGCTCAGCATATAAAGCTGGGGGAAGAAGAAGGAAGGGGGGGACGTTTGGAGTGATGGCGTTTGTCTTCCCAAGTCACTGTTATGCATGATGGATCCCTGCTTTCCTGAAGATGGCTGAACACCTGCCTGCCCATGGGAAGGAGTGAATAAACTCCTTGTTTTGCTTTGCTGGCGTGCGTGGCTTTTGCTTTACCTATTAAACTGTCTTTATCCCAACCCTCGAGTTTTCTCACTTTTACTCTTCCAATTTTCTCCCTCATCCCACTGGGGGGGAGTGAGCAAGCAGCTGTGTGGTGCTTAGTTGCTGGCTGGGGTTAAACCACGACAACTTTTCAGCACTCTAAGGCACCTGGAACTGGCCAACTTTGTAATAGTTAATGGATGAAAAGATTTCCATCCTGAAGAGGCAGTGCAGAGGAAAGGATGGATGAATCACTGAACGAGACAATATATGACTGTAAAGGCCGTGAAGAAGTGGAACGCTTAAATGCATACTCAACTTCAGGCATGTAAGTAGTTTCACTGAAGTGAAGGTGGATGAGTAGTAGAGGAATACAGAGTCTTGATGTGCTGTCCCAGAGGAGAACAACAGAGACAGGGATGAAGTCACGTGGAATTGGTACAGTTTATGTGATGATTTTGCTGTCTAGAGAACTATGTCAGGAAGTAGGATACACAGTTAACAGAGCTGACGGTAAGGGACTTGCCAGATCCTTCAGCTAGCCCTGCACGATTGGAGCTGAACTATACCCAATGGAAACTACCATGGATGTGAATTAACATAATTACTGGGCAAACTGTGTAGTACAATCACTTTTGAAGTCAATTATGTATCCTACTGTATGAGCTAAATTGTTCCCTTGTTTAATCTTAGTTTATTGCATCTTCTTTTACTGATTAATGTGATTCATTCTTTTAGTTTGGTTATTAATTATGCACTCTTGTTTAATTTACAATAGTATTCTCATGCTTCATCACAGTCACAAGTTTCACTGTGCAGCCTGCAGTACAGCTACAGACAATATGTTCTGTGCTGAGTGACAGCTGATCAAATACAATATTGCCATTGGTGGGAAATCCTAATTGTTTATTGCAATTCAAGACAGGAAATTGAAAATTCAGGAAACTGTCCATTTTCAGAAGAAAAAAAAAACAAAGCAAAATATTTGGCTTTCCTAAGCTACAGCGGCTGTATTGGAAGCCCTCTGACTGTCCTTGCCTCCCCGGGCTGTTGTGCTGGACCTACCTTTGCGCTGGGGCCTCAGCCCTGGGCTGCATCCATCAGCCCTCCCTGTGGCCTCTGGGACCGTGGTGCACAGCACAGTGCAGCACAGCATGCCCTCTGCACAGTGCGGCTGCTGTTGCCCCTTGTTTCAGCCCTGGTCGCTCCAGAAGCCACCGACATGGGTTCCCTCGGACCCTGCTCCACCAGAGAGCTGAGCCGAGGGGAAGCCATCAGTAGGTCATCTCCCTGAAACTGCCACATGTGCACAAATTGACTTAGGAAGTCACTTGTTTCCTAGTACTATGTTTTGCACGGTACTTTTGTTACTTTCAGCTGCTTCTGGTATTTTTGCTTCTGTTGCTTTATGTAGAGCTTATTGAGGATTAACAACATAAAGCAATATTGAAACCTTCTGGTCAATAAGTCATATATAGCTGCATATAACACCTATGCTGTTAGTAAGCTTTGGCTAGTAATGCCAAACCATGAATTCTTACTCAGTTCCTTGTTGCCCAGTAGTTGTAAGTCTCTTTTACCACAAACACTATGCAAACAAATAAACTTTTCTCATATTTTGTATATATAATACGTCCTCATACATTTCATGTGTTAAAGACTATGCCTTCACATTAAATCTCATTTTGCATTGCCTTGAGCTACTTTAATTTGAGATTGTTCCTTATACAATCCCATTTTTATACCTGTATTATGGACTTAATGAAAGTTTAAATTAGTTTGCCCTTTAGGTGATTAAAGTTGCAGTGAAAAATACTGATTTAAAGAGTTGATCAAATTTGGGTTGGAATTTTCTTTTTAATTAGGATTAGCTTTTTGAGTGGAGGGATATTTTTGCCAAGAAAAACACATTTTCAGGGTTTTGTCATAAAACAAATACAAAAATCTCTAACTCTTCCAAACAATCAAACTGGATTATTTGAAGCAAGCCATCAACAAAAACTCAGTTCAAGGATTTTCTATTTTTCTGGAAAAGAAAAACAATAATTTTCCCAAACTAAACCAAACCTGTTTTGGTTTTACCTTTGCTTTTATATTGACAGCCATCATGAGAGCCTTCTCTCTTCATTGAGTATGTTCAATGGAAGTTTATTCTTACTGTTTTCAAAAGAAACAGAGCCTAGTAAGATCTTTAATCCCATAATTTGCACATGTGTCTTGATTCATGCATACACAGAACTGACACCCACAATAATGGACCTGAAATACTGAGCCCTCAGCAGGTTCCCAAACCTGTCTGTAGGGAGTGTTAGAGGCAGGCTTGTATTTTTCCAAAGCAGCCTAGGCTGCACGACTTATGCTTTCCCCAAAATATATTGCATTATTTGTAATATGTGCTGGACACATCACAAACTCTGCTTCACTTATCTGCAAGATATAGCTGGGGCTTTCTTCTGCCCGGTGAAATGCCTGCACGGCTTTTGGGATCAAAACATCCATCAGGACATTCTTAGGACCTTCCTCATCCTCTGTCAGAATGACTGGCAGTTTTTCAACCAAAAATTCATCAGTGCCCAGGGGGTTGGGGTAAGCTGCCCCACTCTTCCACATCCTGTAGTGGCAGAGCATGTGTGCAGGGGGCTGAAGAAAAAGGTGATGATGGAGTGGTTGTACCCGAACAGCGATGGAGAGTGTTGGGGTTGGTGGGCGCAGAGTGTGCCGACGGCAGGGAGAGGCAGGGGCATTGGCCCAGACTGGGACCAGGATGCTGCTACAGTTGTCATTAGCTATCACAGACTCTGCCAGCTGCTGCTCGCAGGAGGGAGGGGAACTGTGGCTGCAATGTGTATGCACTCAGTCCCGTGCACAGTGCTGAGCACTGTCAGCTGCGTTGCTGAGATGAGGATGCCTTAATCACAGTGGAGTATGTGCTTGAGCAATGCTGCTTGCTCATGGCCTTGCGGGAATTAGGCAGATACATTAATTAAATGAACTAACTGAATCTCTTCAATAAATACTCTTGTGGCTTGACACCACCCCTGCGGCCCTTCAGGCCCCTAGTAGCTTTTGTTGAGCAGGAGAAAATGTATAATTTGCTTTCTTAATGGGCAGTACATCTGTGCTCCTTGGCCTGTGGTGAGTGTGACAGGACCAGGTCTCTGCCCTCAGCTTCCCCAGTGAGACCCCTGGGGCCATCTGGCACCACCCCAAACCCAACTTGCCTGCCCATGGGGGTCCTCCGCTTGCTGCAGCCGATGGCTCTTGGAAGCAGGTTGAGCTGTGAAGGAAGAAGCCGCTCCTTGACATATTTATTATGCCATGATCACTGGGAACTGTAGGCCTTGATGACTTTTCATAGGCAGGATTATCATCTGCATGCCATAGCTCATGTCCCCTCCAACTCCAGGGATTTACATGGCCTGGGCTGGCAGTTGCTCTTTTTATCGTGTGCCTTTCCCTCCCAGCACCTTTGGACTAATGGGACATGAATTAATGCATTATGTACCCGGGCATGTCTTTCGTGGGATCACAGCTAGGCTTGGGCTGCAAACAGTTCAGCAAAGGGAAACCTGACTGGAAAAAGAACTCAGCACTGAAGCAGAATAACCCAATCCCTAATAAATAAAACCAAAACATCTATTTAAAACTAAGCCAAACCACTGCAAAGATGCTGAAATATTCCAATAGGTAAATGTAGAAAGTGGCAAGAGCAGCAAATTTGACACAGTGGTGGCTGAGAGCCCCACCAACACAGCAGTGAGAAACCAGGTAGAACAGCAACTGTGACAAACCTACAGCCAGAATAGAGCAGAGGGACACACCACCTGCAACCCCCCATGCACGGGACCCCCAACCCAGCCCCACTCACAGTACAGCTGTGAACACGGCATGCATCAGGCAGGGGAGAAGGCACGAGAAGCATTATCACATACCCTGTCCCTTCCCTGGGAACAAAGTGCAAATAAAGCAGACTGGTGTGAGGTCTCATGCACCTCTGTCAGCAATGCTTTCTTGGATGAAGAGGCTCACATAGGAAAACCTCTGCTAAGGACATGGCTGGGCTGTGCTGCATGGGAGGGGTCCCACCCTGCAGCCAGGGAGCTGGGGGTATGAAGGTGGGCACGGGCACGGGCACAGAAGAGGCTGTCACGGCTCCTATGGATTGGACCACACGTAGGCTGGTGAATGCCTGGTCTGTGCTCATGAGGTCATTTGGGTGCTGAGCAGCCAGGTCTGAACAGGCAGGGATGGCAGGGATGCGCCCAAAGACCCATCCTTTCTCCTCAGCCTCATCACCTTTTCCTCAGCCCAGCTGAGGATCCAGTCTGCTCTTTGAATAAATTTGTGTATTATTAGTATTTCTTTATTTACTTGGTCATAAGGATAAAAAAGATAACACGGATTTATTCTAATTCTTATTTTTATTAACCTTTTCAGAAAAATAATAATTTGATAATATACAGAAATAATATACCGGACCCCCCCACAACAGAAAAGGATCTAGGTACAATAAACACATGATATCAACTGTGAGTGACTCATTCATTTGAGACAACCTTTCTTTCTTAAAGAAGAAATCCAATAACATAAATTTGTGTTTGAACATCAAGAAACAGCTCTCTTCATTTTAAAGTACCTTTCTACTTTTCATATATCCCATGGCAAAGTGAACTGTTGTTGCACTCCATGGCAGGAAAACATTAATGGGTTTTAAACGCTATGACCACAATGACACTCTTTAATTTACTTCCTTTACATTTTAGACAACTGTGATTGTTCTATCAGCAAGGCAGATTTTACGGAAATAAAAAGAGATAAAAGAAAAATGGTGTGCCTTTCATCATTTTCTTTGTAGTGATCCTGACGTTAGAGACAGCTATAATATATGTACAGAACAAACAATGGTTTAGGCATATCATCGATGTAATAACAGGGCACGATCACTAAGGAATACTTTGTAAATGTTGAAGATGCTGAATTGACTAATCTCCAGCACTTCAAAGCTGTAGTCAGGGCAGCCATTCTGCAAATAACCTGAAAATTTACTCTCTGCAGTAACAGTTCCCTGAAGAACTGAAGACATTTTTCAAAAAAGAGCTCCACAACTTTACAGAGGCTGAACAATATGAAATAATAAACATTTATTTAATAAGGCACAGTTTAAGATATTTCATACTGCTTGTGCTGCATTTTAGGAAGTCCTAGCCCTAGACAGTTGGAGCTTAACTAAAGTGATCGCTTTTTGCACATTCAGTGTATGTCAGTGTGCTGCATTAGCCATCACATTTTTTGTTTTTGCGATTTTTGTGGTGGAGGGGTTCAATATTTTGAGAATTCAAATGGGAAGCATTTATGCTTCTGAATTCTCAGGAACTGTTGCTGGCTGGACAGAGGCAGTCCCAGCTGAGCCTTCCTAGAGAAAATAAAATGATTCAAGTGACACTGCTGCGCTCATGGTCCCCGGGAGCACAGAGCAACGGAGATGCAAACTGCAGACACAGAGCTTGTGCCCTGCTGCAGGCACCTCAGGGCAGGGAGAGGTTGTCTTCATAGAGTCATAGACTCACAGAATGGATTGGGTTGGAAGGGACCTTCAAAGGTCATCTGGTCCAGCCCCCCTGCCATGGGCAGGGACATCTAGGACAACTAGATCAGGTTGCTCAAAGCCCCATCCAACCTGATCTTGAGTATTTCTAGGGATGGAGCATCCACAACTTCTCTGGGCAACCTGTGCCAGTGTCTCACCACCCTCATAGTGAAGAATTTCTTCCTTATGTCTGATCTAAACCTGCCCTCTTTTGGTTTAAAACCGTTGCCCCTTGTCCTGTCACTACAGGCCCTCGTAAAAAGTCTCTCTCCATCTTTTTTATAAGTCCCCTTTATATATTGAATGGGCGCAAGAACTCGTCCCCGGAGCTGTGTCTTCCGCAGGCTGAACAACCCCAAGTCTCTCAGCCCTTCTCCACAGGAGAGGTGTTCCAGCCCTCTAATCATTTTTGTGGCCTCTGGACCCACTCCAACAGGTCCGTGCCTTTCTTGCACTGAGGACCCCAGAGCTGAACATAGTGCTTCAGGTGGGGGTCTCACCAGAGCAGAGCAGAGGGGGAGAATCACCTCCCTGGACCTGCTGGCCACACTGCTGGTGATGCAGCCCAGGACACGGTTGGCTTTCTGGGCTGCAAGTGCATATTGCTGGCTCACGTCTGTATCTCCAGTGCCCTGGTGCACAGGGCATGCCTTGGGCTCACTCAGCCCATCAGACAACATGCCCCAGGCTTGGGCCAGGGGTGTGAACTCTTGTGGACTTCCAGGAAGGCTGGAGGAGGTTGACAAAGCTATGTGCGATACTTACACTTTCTCTCTTTCCTTTCCTCCAATTTTGAGTGCTCATTGGAAATGGGCTCTGTCAGGCTTTTGTGGGAGTGCAATGTGGCAGGGTGGCAGGGGCTGCTCCCCAGCCGGGGTAGGAGGATTGCACACAGTGCCGGGTCTGGCGGCCGCAGCTCCTACTGCAGGGACAGCTCCTGCTGCCATCCTCCCAGGAGCCTGCTGGGAAGGACAGCCGGGGCTGCCTGTCCGCAGAGACACAGGCAGGGCTGTGTGTCTAGGTCTTGGCCCACACCCAGCACCATTCTGTGGCTCCAGAGCCTGTAGAAATGCAGTGCTGACCGGGGCAGGTGGCCAGAGTAGCCCCTCTGCCAGGCACTGCTTCAGCTGTGTGCACCTCAAAGCGTGACCTTGACTCTGCTGCTGCTGCTGCTTGGGTAACTCGCTTGCAAGGCAAGAGCAATGTAGAACTATTTGCTTGCATTGATCACTCTTTCAGAAGCAATCGGAATCAATTTGGCAAATCGCCATTGCAGAGAACAGTATTTGTATCTTTTATATTTCAGCATTTGGAGAAATAAGGTATAACAGACACATCCCAAGTGGCCAGATCAGATGCAGTTATTCTAGTTGCATTTCATTATTATTTTTTCACACTTACATCCCTACTATTAAATATGGACTTCTGGGCCATGCTCAGTGTTAGGACACTCAGGCCTGGACACGTACGCGAATCAGAACAGTCGCTGTCATGAAATAGGTTTGTTTCACGGTGGTCAGACCAGTGCCCTGCACTGTGCCACCTTTCACCTAGGAGGGCAATTCCAGACTCTGCATTGGCTTCAAATTTTGCCATGTGTTTATCTGGAAACATGAGGCAATGGCGTGAAGAGCTCTGGTAAGCCACAGTTCCTGCCAAATGCCCTCCGTGTAG